AGCTGGGGCTTAAAAACTATGAAGGCAAAAAAGGTACCATTGCTAAATGATTTGATTAAGATAATACAACACTGAACACAACTCAAACCTGGTTTAGATGATGAAGCCAGGTCATTAAAATGTTACATGCAGTAGTCAGTCATAAAGCTTACATGCCCAACTAATGCACTTCAWGCTGGAAGATGGATTTTAAGCAGGTTTATGTGATTTTATGTAGTCAAAAGATGACACTGATGGCACATCACTGGACAAGTCACAGCCTTCAAATATCACCAACCCCTCATACGAAAGTTCTTCAGCACTGACTCCCCCRGAACCTACTTATGAACTTTTCTCAGTAAGTGTTTGTTTTGATTTGAAATTGAGATATATGAGTGTAAAATCATGGTGAAAGGGAATTACTTTATGAAATGAAAGTGCCTGGTTGAAAGTTGAGAAGACAGTTATGTTCTGTTTTCCTATCTCACCGCTGCTAGGAATGGCRTAGCCCTAGCTGAAGCAAAATTGAGGCTTGAGGCTACAGATCCATCTCAAGTTTTATATATTTATGTATATTTATGTATATATTTATATATTTATGTAGTGTCTATATATATGGGGGGTGCATGTGTGTGTGTATATATATATGTGTGTACATATGTGTGTGTATATACATATGTACATATGTGTATATGTGTATATACATATGTACATATATGTGTATAAATATATATGTAGATATATATATAACATGAGGTTGTAGTCTACCTGCAAATCTGCTTTTCAATCCTTTAAAGAAATATGAAGGAAATAGCACTTTAAATGCTGCTGGGTACTAGTGATTTGTCTATGCAGGGGTGAAGAAAAGAGGGAAATCGTCCAAGTAAAATGAGAGTATCTGGACAGTTTTGATGGTCACCTTTAGGAAGGACCATGCAGAGTCTAAAAATCATAATAAGCCTTCTGAATACACCTTTTCTTGAACAATATTTTGAACTCTGATTCTTTTCTTCTTTTGTTTTGTAGGATTCAGATGACCAGCAGCTTGTAATGAGTGGTCCCTATGATCAGAATTAAAGAATTTAAGATTAGTCAATTATAAAGCACATTTCTATTTACATTTACTGTGAACAAATAGCACCTACATATTTTATGCAATAAGATTTCTTGTTACAAATTAAAAAAAAAAAGAGCATGACTTGGTTGCAGATGCAGTCTATAGATTTCACAACATTATCAACTTCAGAAGAGTTGGCTGTATGCTAAGAAATGCCCACTGTGACTGTGAGTACCAATGCACAATTAAGTCCCAGCTAACACCCCAAGAAGCAAGGAGAAAATCACTTCACTGGCRAAAGCATAAGGCTTCCCTTAGCATGCTATTTTATGTCTTTTCTGGGCAAAATTTAAAATGGCCTCAAAACACACAGGACTGCTAATTTTGCAAATACCCTGAGGTTAGCTGGTGCTCTGGCCCTGTACCTTCATTTTGACTTGGTTACAACTACAACAGGAGAGCATGAAACAGAGCATGCTCCTTAGCACCAAGCGACCTGTATTTTCAAGCTGTGCGTGCTGTTTCGTTACAGCACTGTTTTGGGTAAGAAATGCAGCAGCAGAAAATGCCAACACCCTGTTTGTTCTATTTGCTTGCCCTGGCTTTTCTGTCCTTCCTCTAACTTTGTTTTGTTGACAACTCAAATGACTGTACACCAGGAAACAGCAACAGCATCAACAAGAACAAAAATCGTGTGTATGAAAACACACTCATTTGAGGCATTTTTGGGAGAAGTGAGCAGTGAAGAAGGAAGTACTTCACCACTCCAGGTTCCACATTCAGTTTTATAGGCTGGCAGGAGCAAAATCTACCCATCTGTATAAGGCCCGTGTTCCTGCCCAGCAGGTTAGTGCTGCCCTTTCACCAACACGCAGCACTAGCCACTGCTGTTTCCAGACCTGCATTTGATTCTCTCTCATTCCCTCCCCTCAAAGCTTTAACATCTCATCAAATTGTAGGAATACCAGAGGGACCACAGAACAGCAAGACGACAAAGATTTTGTAGTCAGCAGCAGCAGTAATGGGGTGTTTGCTATGRGAGATGGAGGGAGAGAGGCTTTCCTTGTCAGAAAGCCTGAAGTCCCTCTCCGAGCATCCCCAGAAGACCTTACCTTGGAGTAAGGTCCCTTCAGATCACACAATGCCATCATCCATCAGGGACAGGCAAGGCAATTCAATGAGAAAACACAACCAAAGGGACAGACTGGTGGCATTTCTCCAACGTCTCCCCTTCCCCCTGCACAAAAATGCCTTTTTTAGTTTTACTTGAAGATACTAAAATTTATAAAATGAACACACACATTTACATGTGCGCCCATACTTCAGGCAGTTCTTACCCACAAAATTTTGCAGTTAATACAACTCTTCTTCTGCCCCTTCTCCCAAATCAACCACAGAAATTAAGGCTTATAGGGACCACAGGATGAAGTCCAAGCATTTATTTTTGTAATAATCATTAAATATTTTTTATCACAAAAAGTTTCAATAGTTCATTAAACTCTTCTTTTACTGACAAACTACAGTCTTCTGAGTTTTTGGTAGAACTGAGAAGAAAAAAATAAAAAAAAAAAAGACCTTTTTCTTACTCTGGTGTTCGAATGAAATATACCCCCAAAATTAATATGAAGAGACATTGTCCTTTAGACATGCTCAAAAATCCATCTGAAGTCAGTAAGACAGCATTACAGTACTTAATGCAGACAGCAAAGGTGTACAGCTCAACTCCAACATTACAAAGAAAGCCAAACATTTAAAACTGTTAAAGAAGAGCAGTCTATCACTGAAAAATAAATACACTTTAGAATTCTCACTTGAATTTACGTTGTATATAGTTTTCCTAAGGAACAACCTTCCCATAACCGATTTCTTCATGCAGTGTTGTTTAGCTCAGGCAGTCATGCAATAAGAGCAAGGTTTCAGTCGAGCAAGCTGTTGTCACACTGCATCATACAGTGATCAGCAATGAATTCTGGCTGATTTAGCAGCTGAAAAGGAGAGAGGACAAGAGAGAAGACACTACCCTGAATCATGCCTGGCAGGGACAGTATCATCCGATGCAGTAAAACCACTGCTGCTACCACAGGGGCAGGAGGGCAGTGAGCCCTGTCCCGGTTGGCTTTGAGAGAAGGGAACCTGGCAGCTCCGTGATCACAGAAATGCTGCCGCACGGAGCAGCGCCGCCTGGCGCAACCTGGTGCCACCAAGTGCTGGCACTAGGATCAAAAGCAAGGTGGGAGCTTCCTGATGTGTTTCTGAGTGCACCGAGATCTCCAGGAACATGAAAGGTGCCACCCTCTGCAGCACCAAGTTCTGGCTGAGCTGAGCGTAAGGATGAGGAACTGAAGGCAAACCAGGGATGTTTCCATCCCTAAACTGCAGCTCAGGCACTGCCAAGTTATGCCAAATACCTCGTACAGCCCCACCAGGAGCTCCCTGACATCTTGCAGATTTTTGTCTCCTCTCCAGCAAAACAGCACAACTGTCAGATGAACTTACTCATTTTAAGTACGTTCATCTGGCTAAACACCCACCAGCACTCCAGGAGTGTTGCATGTCAAGTTTGAACTCAAACTGTAAGAAAGCTACACACATACAAAGTAAAATATAAAATCACCTTAGAGGACTTCAGACTGATTTCAAGCATACAGAATAACTGCTTCTGAAATTGTACAGACTGGATTAAAATACATTCTTTACCTTGCAGGCATGCTTTTAAAAATACAAAAGATACTGCATATGAAATTTAATACAGATCCATGCACACAAACACCAACAGGTTAAAAAACGCAAACAAAGAAGAAAACTTYTGGTCACCAAAAGTTTGTTTACCTGACAGTCACTGTAGGAAGCAAGTTATGTCCTAAGAAGAAATGAAGGATCGCACATGCTATTTTGTTAATTATAGGCTTTCAAAAATAGAGCCTTTAATAACTAGAATTTGAAAAGCATTAATCAAATTATGTATTCTAAAATGACGGGGTGGAAAGCACCAGTTTAAAAAGAAAAGCTCCACTTCCTTTCGACACTGAGAAATAAAAGCATCTTTGTTTAAAAATAATTATACATAAGTTCCATAAAGTGCCCGTTGCAGGAAACACATCAACAAGTGTTTTCCTTGTGCAAAAAAAGACAATTATCAGCTCGACTCTTTGGAACGTTATCAGGCTGCGCAAAATTTGTGTTCCTGCATTTCCTATAATTAGGGTAGTTCAATAAAGCCTCTAATCCGCACAGTCAAAGCTGTTTTGCTTGATGCAAAACATCTACCACCCCAATTCAGCTTTGAGGGTTTGAGCAAGGAAAATCGGAGCAAGTAATGGGAGAATCCCAGTTTTCATCGTCTCACGTTAAGTTTTTTTCAACTTGTTTGTCCATTGTGCGTGTTGACTATTAAACATAAAAGCTTCCTGAAGGCTGCGTGAAGGTCCATTCTCCCCCAGGAATGCAAAGCGACTGCTCTGCACACCCTTCTAAGACACTGTTTGAAATAAAATTAAAAAGCAGCATTGAGGATGATTGTCCAGCTAAAGCCTGACAGCTTCCAGCCTCAGGTTCTGAACGCACAGTGCAAAACCTCTCGCAATGGCTTCACTCCCAGAGAGCAGGCATTTTGAAGTGTCTTGGGAATTAAAAATCAAGGTGTCTAAAGGTCCCAAATTTCTAGCCCCACTTCCAGAATTATGCTCACGTGCATCAAAAGCCGAGCAGAGGCAGTGCGAGACACGCAGCGCTCGGGAGGGAGCCCCTCACGTAGCCCCTCGCGCTGGGCCTGGCCCCACGGCAGAGGCGCCCGCGGACGGGAACCCGCCTCGCCGGGTGCCTGCAACACCCTGGAGCGGTGTGGAAACAGGAACCCGCCTCGCTGGGTGCCAGTGACACCCTGGCTGGAGCAGCACGGAAACGGGAACCCGCCTGGCCAGGTGCCCACGACCCCGGCTGGAGCAGCACGGACGCTCTGCTAGAGGCTCCAGCCAGAGCTCCCTCCAGATGGGGCCTGAAGGGAGCATATCCGTGTGTTCCGTAAGCCACGAGGCTGCAGAGAGCAGTTGCCTCTGAACAAACCAGCACCAACAAACACGTTCTGCACCGCCAGGCCTCCCTGCCAGGGCACTGCTGGTCTGGCAGCCTGGCATCAGCTCCGTTAGTAAGAGCAGCTCATGGGAGAGGCAAAATCAGGGGCTGCGGTTCTGAGAACAACTATGAGTTGCAGCTAACYCAAGACGATAGATTTAAGGGACTTAAGAAAAACACAGCTACATTCAAGAAAAAAAGGAAAGAAAGCATATGCGCGTTATCTGCCCATTTGGGGGCCAATAAGCCAGGGGTTCTTTTGATCTGATCCCATTTAGAAGCCAATAAGCCAGGGGCTCATTTGATCTGAACCGTCTCTTGCAGGAAGGGGACTCTGAAGGCACCAGCACACGGCTGGTCCGACCAGGCAGGAAGCTCGTGCTGCAGAGGAGTCCGTCTGGGATAGAACGTGTAGTCGAGCTCGTAGTTCAAGAGGCAGCTCAGTGACGCCATATAGATATCAGCAAATCTAGACAGGCGTCGTAGGAAGTAAGTGGGGTTCTCATCCGTTCTGAATAAGCTTCCAAATTGCGCGTTGAAGAAATTCCTGTTCATTTCCCTGTCACCCAAAAGARAAAATGTGAGGAGAATGAAGGGAACAGGTCTGTGCACATCTCTACCAGAACACAAAGCAGATTGTGAAGCACCAGAATCTGAAGTTCCTTTAGTCAGTTCATTATTTTAATCTATGAGTTATTCACTTGCCATTGCAAGCCAAGTCACCTAAACACATTGTTTACATTTTCTATATGTAACCAAGTCTAGTTATTGCAGTGAACAGAGAAGCTTCCTGTTTATCTCACTAAAAACAAAGGCAAACTGTTTCCATCTTCGGAAACATGCTATCTCAGGCTTTCATTTCTAGAAATTGTGAAAAAAAAACTTTTTGTCTCATATAAATCCAAATTATTATTCACTTTTCCCAAATATTTATGACTAAAAACATGTGAAGATTTGGTTTAACATACACAAAAAGTTTATACGTACCTTGGAATTAGCTTCTATTACTAGTCATTGCCAAGTATCATTTTATTCATGTCTACCTTGCTCTCCAGGGAGAAGATTGCTGTTGGTACTGTTGCCATCTTTGCCAACAGTAGCCTTCAGACACCCTGAATTTAGGGGGTGTTCCCTCAGTATTTTATAGGTTTTAACCCTGCCACCTATTCTTGAAAAACTCACTGCTAAATTCTGTCCCAATTTCCTATTATTTGTAATATTAGGAATAAGTCATCAAAAAAAGAAAGGAGGAGCAACAAAAACGTGATTTAAAAAGTGATTTAAATGGTATTTCCTTCATGCAGAAGTTAAGCTGTATAACCAATAACAATGATGAGAGCTGAACAAAACAGAGGGACAGGAGAACTGAACAGAGAAGGAGCAGCATTAGGCCTGACATTACCCTTTCATGCAGAAAACCAACATCTGTTCTGCAGAAAGAGAACAGGGAAAGGGGGATCATATGCACRAAGGATCAGAGGGGACAAGAGTTGTGCAAGATATAGGTAGAATAACTGCTTTACAGAAATAATTTTGTAAGGTAAAGGAAGCAGTTAAGACATGGGAGAAGACTTGGTTAACCATGAAGCACATAGAAAATACTTCATCTCCCGTTTCTTACCTCATATCCTTTCTTTCCTTCTTCCATTCTTCTAAAATCATCTGTGAATCAGGATCACGATGAACCTGGAACATAAAATGCAGATGACAAGTAACTAGGGATGCCCTGGCAAATGAACCCTGCCATTAACAAACCTTTATCAACTGACAARACGAGAACTACACTTCAAAAACTGTTATATGCACGTTACCCAGATGAACTTTAAACAACCAAAGGCCAAACAATCAATCCAAGTGATCATCAGTGGAGTAAAGAGGCAAGTTTGAGATAACTCACAAACTATTTGCCCGGGTATCTGTGCTTATTTATCTATAGTCAAACCAGGGAGCCTAAACGGGGCCAACATCCAGGACTCAGCTCTGYGGTAATGGACCCAGCTGTATAGAACCCATTACACACAGCACAAACCTGCATGTGTTCCAGCAGTCCGGTGAGGGTCTGTAGCCAGGTCATGGTTTGAATGTACCTCTCTGTGTTCATGATTTTAATCTCTGATCGTAACTCAGGAATTATCGCCCCAGTGCGCCAGCCGTGCTTCAGGGTCAGATCCTGTTTAGCCAGGATTACAAAACACAAGTGTCAGTCCACAAAGAAATAAGCAGAATTTGAGCACCCTTTATCCCAAAGGGTATTAAACTGATTACTTCTTATGTATGGAGGGAAATATTAAGCAGTGGGACATGAACTGAGCCAACACGCAGCAGATTTGAGAACAGGCTCCAAATTCCCCACTTTCAGAGAGAACAAAGAAACCTTTGCAAGTGAGCCCCAACTCACTAGGTTTAAAAGAGAGAGATGGAAGTCACAACTATCTGCAGGAAACCAAGCATGGGATACTGCCCTTTTACCCTTGCCCGGGGCGGTGAGGCCTCTGTTGGGATCAGCAGCGGGGAAACCTCTCCTCACCAGCAGCGGGGAAACCTCTCCTCACCAGCAGCGGGGAAACCTCTCCTCACCAGCAGCGGGGAAACCTCTC